GTAGGTTAAACTAAAGTGACTGCAGACCACATAGGTCTCCTCATCCTTCTAAGACTGATACACAGAGAACCAAAATCCTTAAAATTTGTTTCAACAGCACAGTTCTTTTTATAGAAGAATATATTTGCTTCTTGGCAAGCAAATATAAATCTTCCAACAATAAAAATTCATTTTTAATTTTTGAAAGTGAAAAATAATTTGACCAGAGTTCACAGTCTAAATAGTTTTAGTGTCAGAAATCACAGACTTACAGTACTTTCCCTAATTTAAGGAGGAAAGACAGAAGTTCATTTCTAATTGAAATAGTACATGAAAGCAAATACCAAGAGAAAAATTCCACAGTGGGCTCAGTTATCCTGACAGTTATTCCCTGGCTTTAAGGTTAAAATACATTCTCTTAATTAAAAAAAAAAAAACTTCTTTAAAAAAATGAGAAGATGTCTAAAGAGGCTAGATATATCTTTTACCATATTAATGTAATTCTACCTTTTAATAAAATGCCATCTGATTTAATCATCCTATCAAGATAGCTGTATTTCCCTTGACAATTTAAGGCATCTTGCAGTGCCCCTGTGAGTTTGCTGTGCCGCCCGAAACATCTCAGTGCACAGTGTGGGAATCTCAGTTCTGCACCGTGCAGTCTGCTTGTGACTAAGCAGCTTAGTGCATGTTTCTTTGAATTCATAGTATTAATTAATTTTCACATATTTGGGGAGATAGTATTCAAAGTGAAGTAATCACCTTTTTAGGAATGGATGGCCTTTGTGAAAAATTAGATTAGAATTGACAAATGGCCCCCTTGTTGCTACAAAATGATTCTGAAAGTGTTACTGAAAGAATAAAATGATGGATTTTTGAAAACTGTTCTTATATAAATTGTGTTATATTTTTCCTGAGAACTTTCTGATTAAAATTATTGTGTGGAATCTTAAGAAAGAAAATATGGTATTTCAGCTTTTTATAAAATTACATGCATCATGGTTAGCAGAAAATGAATAGGTTTGAATTTTGACTTTTTCTTTAACTAGTCTAAGGCTAAGCTAAGCATAGATAACCATTTCCCTTGCCAGTGATTAGTTTAGGAGTAGCTGTGACCTTCTGGGCTAATTAAATATATTGGGAAAGTCAGCTGTGGGGTCGAGGGGGCACTTCTGGGAAAAGTTTCCTCACTTGGTGAAAAGAAATGACAGAAAGAAATGCTTCTTTCACTGGACACTGCTGTGTCTTCGTGTGGTGTGCTGAACTCTGGCAGCTTATTTTGTGATCATGAGTATAGGTATCTGAGGACAAATCCAACAAATAGGACAGCAAAGCAGAAACAAGGACAGAAGTTTCTGGAGGCCTCAAAGAGGATGTTGAATTAACCAATCCCTGAGCAAATCTTGTAACTTTTTGCAATGAGAGAGTAACTATTCCTGACCTATTAAGCACCCTTAACATTAGTCTTATTCCTTAATTATACAGTTAGTATATTCCTTGGTTAGTTACAGTTAGTCTTATTCCTTAAATATGGATGGTATTTGAACTGAGTCAAGACCCTTATGGGTCTATAGTGTAGGTGATGAATGTGTTTTGAAAAGCCCTCCCAAGTGATTCTTAACACCCTCTTATCTTCCAATTCTTACTGCCTTCCCATTGAGAACTTCCGGAGTGAGATAGTTATGGAATTGAATTAAGAGGACTGGATTATATATGGAAGTTAAGAAAAGGGAGGGGTCTAGACTAGACAGCTACCATGTTTTGGTTTGGGTAACTAGGTAGATGGTGCTGCTGTTCCAGGTGATAAGGACTACATGTAAAAGAATTACTTCAGTTTTGTATATTCTGAATTTGAGGTGTCTAGGGAACATTCAGAAATTGATACTAGAGAGTAGTTAGATATATAATCCTGGAGTCAGAAATATCTATAAGACTAAGAGATTGGTAGTTGTAGTTGAAACTATGGATGTAAACAAAATTGCCTAGGCAGATACACTTTATCAGCATGGAGGAGAGAAGTATATGGAACCTTAGAGAACATTAGTGTTTCAATATAGTGTAGGGGAAGAAGTAGTTTAAGAAGAGGAAAACAATTACTGGTGTCAATAATGATATGTCTCATTTCATTTTAGATTTTTCTCTGAGAAATTCTAAGACCTTTGTGGTTATTGAACTTTCAATTAGGAGGTAAACTCTGCATATTTTAGTTTTTTCAAAAAGTAGATTCTTAAATGCTTTTTTCCTTTTTATTTGATCAATTTGTAATGCTGAACAGTAGCCTCATGGGATAAAGAGTTATTAATAAACCCCTCAAACACTAGCAGTTTGCTCTCTTCTCTCTTATGAGATCAGTTTGACCATAATGCTTATTAATAGAGATCGGGGATATAGTGCCAAAAAGAAAAACCCAGTGTATAAATTTTCATCAGTCCTTATTTCCAGTCATTTATATGATGGTAGATGTGTTGTTTTTAGGGTATATGCGCATATGTGTGTGTGTGTGTGTGTGTTATGTATGCCCTTTGTATTTTACTATTCATAATTGTATATTCTATTTCCTTTTGTTATTACTATTTTTAACATTTGACATTTTAGTGTGTTCTTTTTGTATAAAAATAAAATATTTTAGAGAATTAAGATGACTTAGAAAATTCAAATAATTTTTCTTGGCTGAGGAAATTAGGTATTTCCTGAAAACAAAAGCCTGAAGAAAACAGAAACATGACTTTTGAGGAGTTTTATCTTAAAGCTTTCACATAATCTATGGATCCCCATCTAGTGTGCATATGTGTGTGATATCAAAAACACTTTATGATGGAAGCATCAGATTTTATGAACTCTTCGAATACATATAAAAGTACAATTTTCAATTAACATTATTGCTAAAAGAATAAACTTTTTTGCATGTATCTTATTCCTCCCTTCAACCTCTCTCTCTGTCTCTTTTCTTTTTTAACTTCAGTTTGAATAGCACCTGTAATTAAGGAAGAAAACCTGAGCCCTGGGAGCTAGGTAGGACTTTCAGCTATTGATCTGTGTAAACCCAGCGTCTACTGTCAGGGGAGAAGCAGTCAACTGCTGAGCTGCTTTGTCGCTGACATAAGCTGAGAGAGGATTTTTTTGTCTATACTGTTTATACACTACTCTATAGACCTGCTGGCTGGTTGAATTTTAAAGAGTGCGGAGGTTTAAAGACTTGTCCCCTGAGGGATGCTTCTGCCAGTTGGGAAGCGAGCTGAGGCTGTTTTGCAGAAGTGTGTGCATGTGTGTTGCTTGTGGAGAGGGGGAGGGGGAGGGTGTGAAAGATTGAGCAACTAACTGGGAAACATTCTTCTTAATTTGAGTCTTAAAACTGATGTGAAATATATTACTAATTTTGGTACATTTAGAAGTAGACAATGAGTTTTGAATATGGATCTGTTGTTACAAAAATTATATGAACAACTTTGCAAGGGAGGGATATTAAAATAGTGTTGATATGTATACTAAATATGGTAAATGGCTTCACTTTTTGTAGCACAAGATAAGGATTAGCAATGGATAAATGAACTTACTTGTAATGTTCAGTTTCAGTAATTTAAATTATTTCAAGTTTAGTGGCTCTTTTAATTACATTTAACAGAATTTTTTCAATAGTAAAACAGCTTTTTCTAAATATGGGGTCTGTGCTCATATTTTTAAAGGTATGTGTTCATAAGCAAAGCAGGGTACCTTGCCCTAAAGATAGAAGGACTGCTTTTTTTACATGCTGCTTTTCTTTCTGCTTCAATGTCTTAAGGCTTTCTTGAAGCTTCCTTAGGTATTGGCATTGGAATTTTATAATGTTTTATTATTAATTAATATCTTATTGCAGTCTGCATTTTAAAAGAACGTGATAAATTCTACTTTAAAACACTCAATACTAGGTTTCTGTAGAGGAGTTAAATATGCAGGTGTTAATAATTTCTCTGGATGTAAATTTTATTGGTAAAGAGGTAGTATTTTTGGTGGGGGTGACTACTGCATTAAGATATTTGCTCTTTTTTTTTATAGGAAACATTCTCATAAATCTCTGCTTTGTCTTATAAAATCACCTGACTTTGAACTTATATGATGTTATTTTCAATTCTAAAGCTTAACTTTAGAATGAGAGTTAATTTTAAGTTGTTTTTCCTATATAAAAAAATAAATCTTTTTCTGTTTTTTTGCCAGGTGTCTGACAGTTACTCATATTTTATTATGATTATAACGTGTATGATTTCTAAAGGCTTTTAAAATTATTTTATAATGACTTTATAAAATCACTGCAGGTTATTTTCTATGCTTAATTAAAACACTGATTTTCATATTAGGCAATCCGTAAACAAAAGTGCACAGAATAGAAGCCATGTTGTTTTAAATTTAAAGGCTTATTTTTTAGATACACATTTTTTTAAAGACTGTTATTTGAGATAAACTTAGTGTTACTGTTGTTGAATTTACCAAGAGTTGAAACATATAAATGTGTTTCTTTAGCTATAGAAAGTCTTTTTTTTTTTTTTAACCATTTTACTATGGGACATGTAGATTTGTTATACCTCTCAGTAATTCATGCCGCTGCCAACTTCATTCCCTTTTCTCTGCCTGCATTTTAATTGAAACAACATTTATGTTTTTGAGCCAGGATCTGTCAGAAGTCCCTGTGGCTAGTCTGTGGTACAAGTAGCAGCAGACGTAGCTTACCCATATGGTGCGGTGCTTCTTGTAAAATCCATATGGCCTTGTTGAAGGGAATCCCAGCGGGGATGTGAAGGGTGTTAATACCCTTCAGGCCAGGCCTTTCCCTCCTGGGGCTTCCGTGGCATTGTCAGTGCAATCTGCCAAAGCACCAACTTAATTCCTTTTTAATAATCAATTATTTTAGTCTAGGAACCTGTGCTATTTTTCTTAAGGAAAAAAAAAAAAAACAAACCTTTTCCCCCCTAGAAAAGGTCTCAAGAAAAAGTTTTAACTGCATCTTTTAAAATATTCTAAAGCTTTTTTTTTTTAATTTGCATTTGCAGGAAGTACTACAGAGTGTGCCCAAGTTCTGTTTCCCCTTTGACATTGAAAGGTACAGTATAAACCATCATTCAAAGTAACTTCAGCTCATCCCAGTGAGCACTTTAAAATTGTTTCATGTGTTTTTTAATAAAAAGAAATGTATGTTCTCTTCACTGCTTCTAGCAACAACAAAAAAAGGACCAGAGGTTCAAAATTAAATAATATTTGAAAGGAAGAAGCCTTTTTACATTATTATATCTTTTGTTTTCTCCACTGTGGCCAGTTAGGAGAAGTCTTAAGGTTCCATTTCTTCCTTTTGTTCTTCAGGTACATATTGTAAGCACCTGCAGAAAAAAAAAATATTACTATGTCCTTAATCAGAGCCTTAGAATTGTGTCTTTTAAAATTAGATGTATATATCCTGGTTTCTATCTCACTTCACCCTAATTGAAAAGACCATCTGTGTGATATTGTAAAACTCATGGCTAGTTGTCTCCCAAGAATAGCTGTATAGAAATAGTGCAATATTATGGAAGGCTGCAGGGAAGTCCTCCCAGCAGTTTTGAAAATCTCATTATGTTTGTATTTTACTGAACAAATAATGAATAGAGTATTACCTGTGTGTAGTTGGAATTTCACAGAATATATAGGCCTTTGAACATAAAAACTGATCATTTATTGTTTTTCATGTGATTTTCACACCCTATTATCAGTTTTTTTAAGAGTATGGTATGAGGGGTTTTAAAGGAAAATTTGTTTTTGGAAAATATTTTGCTAAAGTAAAGATTAGTAAAAATCTGAAATTTTACAATGTTAAAGATAATGCCTTCTGAATGAGGCTAATTGATACTAATAAGCATTGCTGATGAATGATACCCCTTGTTTTACCTCCTTCCTAGAGAATCAGTTGTGCTTGTTCAAGTTGCAATTTACACATTACTAGCAAAGATAAAATACAGGAGGAAAAGCTTTGAAAGTACATTGTGAACATGGGCACTGGAGGTGTTTTTGAAGTTTGTAAAAATTTTTTCAGAACTGTCCACTTAAATGTGTATTTGTGAAATATTCAGCACTTGAAATGCAGTATTTCCTGACAATTGAAACAATTTGTAGTAACATTGGCACACTGGTAATAAAGCAACTTACTTCTTTCTACATAATTCCTGTGGCTATTTCAGAACCAAAATTTAGGTGTCATAGATATTTTATCTTGGGACCAGGAAGCAGATGTTCAGTTATGGTTGTCTAATGGCAGAATGATAGCCAGTAACAAGAAGTGTATTTATATATTTTAAATGGTGATAAAGATTCAGTGTAATGGTTTATATTGCATGTTACACCGCAGTGTGACGCATGCTATAATAGCATGATACTTAGGTCAACAGCTAAAATTCTTTGTAGTAAGCTTTTCTGTGGGAATTGTGTTCTTTCTTTGTGCTTGGAAATTTGTTCTCAGTTCATAGGTAGTTCTAGACGAGAATGCTGAAAAATGCCAATAGTAATTTTTATGGTGCTTTACTGGGTGAGAATGTCAACAGAAGAAACAATTAAACAGAGGTGGTGGTGGCTGCCATTGGATGCTAAAGCAGCCTTATTTGCTGTCTAAGCAGTCTAAAAATAATATGACAAGAGAGGCTGGAGTTGAGCAGAATCAGTCATCATGTTTTCCTTCTCAGTTCAACAGTCTCAGTAATGGTATTTTCAGATTTATGAAACATTTTAGAAGTACTTTTAGGCATGTGCAGACTTACAATGAAATACCTTATGATTCCCTACTATGGGGTTAGTATATACTTAATTGCTCGGCCTGTAAGTGTTACAACTTAATGTGATATTTGACTCATTATTTAGTTGTTTACACATTTCATACTCATTTTAGTTTTAGAACATAGTTCTAGATTTGAGAACCAACTGATTAAGAAGGTGAACCCAGTGGCTCATGTAAATACATTCTTGCTTTGTTTTTCTTTAAGAAAATTGTCACACAAAAACACATTAAAGTTTTATAATATTGCTGTATTATAGAGTATCTCAAAATCAAGTCGGACAGCATTTTACCTTTGTACTGACAGACATTGAAAGTAAACAGAGATTTGGATTCTGCAGACTCACATCAGGAGGCAAAATTTGCTTGTGCATCCTTAGGTGAGTATTTGTAGTAAAAAAAAGTGGATGCATTAGTACATTAATTGTGCCTTTCTTTTGTACTTTGTTATGCTTAGGATGCTTAAAAATATGCATATAATATTTTTTTCTTATTTGTTTTCTCTAGATCCAAGTAAATTGAAAAATAACTTTATCTTCTGTATAGAGCATCAATTAGATTTCAAGATTTACCAGTAACAGTAAAACCTTTCTTGAAAGAATTGGCTCTTTTAAGATTAGTTTTTATGGGTTTATTTTTGAAAAATTAAATATTAAGATGTGAGTTTAAATAATATATATTTCACCTATTAAACAGGATGCAAAAAAAAATCAATTAAATTAATACATGCTCTTTTCTATCACTGACCCAGAACCTCGATTTTTGAAAGTGAATTACTGCTTTAAGGCAAAGGTTGTAAACTGGTGATTCTGGGCAAAAATGTTTAATAGAGATGTTTTATTTGGCCATATGGTGTTTTAAAAACTTTTGAAGATGTTTCTAACTTTATAAATTTTAGTGAAATTTTGCGTAAAATTCAAGCTTCTAATTCCTTTTGGTAAATGGGAATATTTGCTAATTCTGGTCGTGCACTTCCCAGTAGCAGCAATATGCTGGAACTCAGCAGTGGGTGTTTAGTTGTGTCATGAGTTTGCTACTTTGCCACAAGTCCTACCTGTCCCACTTCCATCGCTTACATCATTTGCCTTGATTCAATAGGTAGTTAAGATTGTGTCTCCTTTTTGTAGACCTAGGATTTGAGGTGCTGGCTGTTTACAAGAAAGGATTCTGAAAGTTAGCTCCCCTTTATTATGTCTTGATGAATCAAAAATCCAGATGTATTCCATAAAAATAGGATTCTGTACTGTGATTATAATATGTATATTGGTCAAGGTAGATTCTGTGGAAATGCTTGTAGGAAAAGAAATAACATCTAATTTAATAATTAAAATGTTATAAAGAAAACTTTGGTATAAAATTGATGTTCGTTTGCTATTTAGCTACATTCATATCATTCTTTGAAGTTTAGGTTATAAATTTACCCAGAACATTTGTTAGAGTTGGAGAATTTTCTTCAATCTTTATTTAAAAGTAAATGCTTAACTGCTTTATAAGTGTAAGTAACAGAATGTGGATGTTCCTCCATTCTTTCTTTAGGCAACAACTCTTTCATTTGGATAATAATTGTATTTAAAACATATGTTTTATCTGGAAGAGTATTATGCTTCAAACTATAGGTTGATTCTTATAATTTGAATCCAGTTGATTGTGCAGTGAGAGTGGGGGTGACGTGGAAAATGGGTAAGGAGGGCTCCTTTTATCATTGTGTTTAATGCTGAAGGTTCAAAAGCTACACTTTAAAGGGGGGGTAGAACCTTATCTGCTCTGCCCAAGGCACGTTTGTCCTAATAGAAAGACCAAAGCTATAGGTGCTTTCTAATTTTTCTCTATCAATTTTTAAATCTTTTCATTAAAAAAGTCAAGTTTACAGAAAAGCTTTAAGAATACTACAGTAAACTCTTGTGTATACATCACCGAGATTCACAACTGTTAACATGCTGCTGCTTCTCCTTCCTCTCTCTCTGAGTGCGCACACACATACATGCAAATTCTTTGTCTTTCTTTTTCTCTTATTGTTTTTGCTGACCCAGTTGAGAATAAGTTATAGACATCAGTTTTCCTAATATTTGAACCTGCATTTTACAACTTTACCTCACTGCCTCCAAAATGAGTTCCTGATAGTCATAAAGAGGATGAAACTTTGTCTTTGTTTTGAACTTTTAAAATATTTTGAATACACTGAACCTATTAATAATTAGCAAATAGTGGGGCGCCTGGGTGGCTCAGTCTGTTAAGTGTCCAACTTTTGGTTTCGGCTCCGGTTGTGATCTTACAAGTTGTGAGATGGAGCCCTATACTGGGTTCTGCACTCAGCACGGAGTCTGCTTGAGATTCCCTCCCCCTCCCTCTCCCTCTGACCCTGCCATTCGTTCTCTCTCTCTCTCTCTCTCAAGTAAGTAATAGATAAATAAATAAAATCTTAAAATTTAGCAAATAGTTACTAAATGTTCAGAATAGTCCCTATAAATGTGCCTATAGAATAAACCTTCTCAGAAATTTGTTTAAATTTAGGAAAGCCTACATCACCTAAAAGTATTTACACAAAAAATGAACTGTAGCTATTTGTTAAATTCCTGAAATACTGGTATAGTGTTCATATCTCCAAACCAGGGGTCATTAATTTGTAGGAAACAGATTCTAAAACAGTTACAGTAATCAAGTGATTGTTATCAAACTTGCGTATGTGGAAGAACACCAGAGTGTTGTAGTACTCTTTGAATTAGGAACAGTTTTACCTGCAGAAAATAAGGTTATGTTACATAAATGTAATAAAAAAGTAAAATCATGTATGCCAATGAAGACAACCTTTCACAATATGCATTATTGGTTATTTTATCTTTTAAAAAAAGATTTCTGTTTGTTTATTTTTGTCATGTGACAGTTCTTTCTGCTAGATAAGAAATAAGTAACAAAGCTTTATGAAAAAACAGAGGAGAATCTTAAATTGAGAAAGTTCTATTCTCCAACTTATTTTTTACTAGGAAATTTTTATTTATTTTTTCTTTTTCTTTATTATGTTAATCACCATACATTACATCATTAGTTTTTGATGTAGTGTTCCATGATTCATTGTTTGCGTATGACACCCAGTGCTCCATGCAGCACGTGCCCTCTTTAATACCCATCACCAGGCTAACCCATCCCCCCACCCCCCCCCCCTCTAGAACCCTCAGTTTGTTTATCAGAGTCCATAGTCTCTCATGGTTCATCTCCCCCTCCGATTTCCCCCCTTCATTTTTCCCTTCCTACTATCTTCTCTCTTTTTTTTTTTAACATATAATGTATTACTTGTTTCAGAGGTACAGGTCTGTGATTCAGCAGTCTTGCACAATTCACAGTGCTCACCATAGCACACACCCTCCCCAATGTCTATCACCCAGCCACCCCATCCCTCTCACCCCCACCACTCAGCAACACTCAGTTTGTTTCCTGAGATTAAGAATTCCTCATATCAGTGAGATCGTATGATACATGTCTTTCTTTGAATTATTTCGCTTAGCATAATACCCTCCAGTTCCATCCACGTCATTGTAAATGGCAAGATTTTACTAGGAAATTTTTAAAAGATTGCCATCTCATGATTTTAATGGCATAACATAATCTTTGTCCTCAAAGGCAGTGTACCACGTTGAGAATAGCCAATATTGTTTTAATAGTGAAAGAGAATTAAAATGTAATGGAATTCAGCAATTTTTTCAGAAAGCTGTTATAGATAGGAGAATACCTATTTTAAGCTGTAATTAACATATGTCTGTGAAAATAATTTTAACAAATCTCTTAAGTGCTGTCTTACGGGGGATAATGGTGTTTTGAGTCCTGGTTTGTCTATGAACTAGACCAGGTCTCCCCCACTTTAGATTTAACTTTATAACTGTTGAAAGAAAGGATAAAACTTTAAATGTACTGGAAAAAATATTGTTGATTTAAAAAAAATTACTGTGGGGTGCCTGGGTGTCTCAGTCAGTTGAGCATCCAACTCTTGGTTTCAGCTCTGATCATAATCTCAGGGTTGTGAGATTGAGCCCTGTGTCAGGCTCCACACTAGGCATGGAGCCTGCTTGGGATTCTTTCTCTCTCTTTCCCTCTCCCTCTGCCCCTCCTCACCCCCTTCTAAAAAACTGAATAAATAAAAATAAAATGACTGTAGTCATAAGCGCCTTTATATACCTACCATTGAATCTTGAGGCCAAAAAGATTGGCATCTTTGCCTGTATGATGATGAAAGAGTTAATAGCTATGATACATAATAAGTAGCTACAAGTTAATGACACAGAACCGAATAGAAGAATAAGGAAAACATCTGAGTAATATATTCATAGAGGAAATTTAAATAGTATATATACCTGTAAATGATGCTCAGCCTTACTAAAGGTGAAAGAAATGAACATACTAAGATTGAAAGAAATGAAATAAAAAAAAAATAAGCCTGTGGGGAAACAGACATGTCATGTCAACTGTGTAGGGACTATAAAATGACATAACCATTAGAAGAGAAATTTAGTAATATCTATCAGATTTATAAAATCTCATACTCCTTGACTCAGTTCTAGAATTTTAAAAATCAGGAATATTCCCAGTTAGTGAGCAGTAAAGTGTAAACAAAGTTGTTTATTATAGCATGGTTTATAATAGCAAAATAATGGGATGTAAATGTCCTTCAGTAGGAATTTTTGGTACATTCCCTGGTCAGTTTCCCCTGCCCCTACCAGAATGTTCTCTGTTTTTTTCACTGATGGGTGATTTTCTCAGTGCCTACAATAGTGCCTGGCACATAATGAATTCTTAATAGATATTTGTTTAATAAATAAATTAATGAATGAATGACAAACAGAATGGAATATTATTTATCTATTGGGGAAAATTATATACTAATACAGACTGTAACTCTGAGAGATGTTTATGAAAAATTGTGAAATGATGAGAAGTGTCAAAGTAATATTTATGGTATGTTCTTATATTGTAAAGAACAATTTATATATGTATGTAAATGTATCTACTTTAAGAAGTAGCTGACATGAAAAATTTATATATTAATATATGAGTGTATATACTTATAAAAAAGACTAGAAAGATAGGTCTCCAGTTTTTTTTTTTTTTACTTTATACACTTCAGCATTTATCCATTTTTTGCAATGTATGAGTCATTTTAATCATTTTCTCCCTGTCCTATAAAATTCTCAGATGTTAGAACTATAAATAGCATATTAAAACTGGGAATTTAACCACATCATCTTTTGTCAGGTAAAATATGTCATCTGTTTTCAGGATAGAAGATTATTTTACTAGTGTGTTTTATTACAGGCACTTCAAAGGCACTCAGTTGATCATTGTGGTATAGCAGAATTAAGAATGGAAAGGGTCGTTTCATTCTGTGTCCTTG